ACTAGTAAAAAACAGAAAGTTTCATTTTTCTTGATTCTTTGAATATCTACGTAATAACTGTCAAGCAACAAAAGTTGCTTTTGATTAATGTAATATTAATAGAACTGAAGCATCTAAGAGAAATTCTAGGAATATGTTATAACTCTTAGTTGTTAATTATTCGAAGAATACATGCATTTCATCATATTTGAAAAGAATTGTTCAAGAAACAGCAAAAATTATAGTATAGACACGCCTGTTACGTATTTGTAAAACTGTCTAGTGAAAATCTCACAATGAAGTGTTCCTTTAATAAGCAAAAATTGGTTTAGGTTTATTAGACTTTGCTGCAAAAGTGTCTGAAAATAATTTCGATAGGAATCAAGCAGAGTGATATGGATCGTTTAGTTGAACAATCAGCTAAAGATTATAACTTCCATGGTGCGGTCGTTGCAGAAGAGCATATTGATTGATGTTTTCAGTGGTGTTGATGGCTTCAGAATTTAATGTTGAAGAAAAGAAAAGAATAAAGGAATGGAATGTGTGTAATCAGGAAGGTCATTGATGAACAATAAGAAAATTAAGGGGTTGAGAACGCCCCCCTGGGGAATACCAGTGTCGATTAAGTAATCATCGGAAGTTTGTTCACTAATTTTCACTATTAGCTTACGACCTTCTAGAAATGAACGGATCCATTGTGATATGCTTCCACAAATCCCAAGTGCATTCATTTATTTTTGTTATGATGAAATCAAAGTTTAGCGTGTCGAATGCACGTGACAGGTCGAAGAAAAGTCCAATAATGGATTCTTTTCTCTCTAGTTTTTCGTACACTATGTTGTACACGAGTGTACACACTATATATAGTATGTACTATGAATATCGATGAATATTAAAAAAACCTGATTTTATTCATAACTCCATATCACTGTAGATGCCAGAATTTTCCTAAGGACAAAATCATAATATTTTTTTCCACAATTGGATGGAACATGGCAGAGAAGATAATTTTTTTTCAGGATAGCCATAAACATATTTAGTTAGGCAGTACATTCAGCAAAAATTTGTCTGTTTTCGAAATTTTATAAAAACTATGTTTCATCTTTTGAACGGATTCTTCGGGTCCAATGCTATGAGTAGTTCTTTTAAACAATGTAACGAATTGTAAAAAAAAAATGTTGGATGAATTCACCTAGATTTTCAAAATTATATGGAGATTGTGTTTTTTTTTTCAGCTTATACTAGAGTTGGTGGAAATAAGAAGGGAATTTTCACAAGGAGTCGTCAGCCCAAAGCAAGTGCTCACCATATAAGAAGACGATATTGGAAATTAGCTAATCAACCTACTGTCTAAATTCATATACCTGAGAAATATCCTGATAAAAGGTATTTGTGAAAGGTGAAATACTCATCTCAACTAAGATGGTGTTGGGAGAGGCCTGTAATAGTAGGTATAATTAAGAATGGTGAAATAATTCAAAAATTAATTTTGAAGATAATATAATCGAAAAACCAATTACCTACTCATCAGATGACCATCACAAGCTCGGTAATATCTCAAATATGAAACAAATATTTCATTTGACACTTGCTATCGACCAAAAAAGATATGAGCAGAATATAAGAATTAGAACAACAATAAAATCGAAACTATGTTTAAGAAGAAGCTCAGAAAATGATTTTTGAAAAAAAATATAATGATGTACTTAATGTACTTAAGACTAAAAAATCATTCGGAAGATCCTAAGTAGCAGTCATCACACCACTCTGCTCAGCAATCTACGATATTGATCAGATAAAAAAAATAATGAAATCGTTGGTCGTAGCATAACCTGCTGAAGAGAGTGGTGTGATGACTACTACCTAGGACCTTCCGAATTATTATTTTTTATTTCGCCATTTTGTAGCTTCGGCCATCTTGAATTTGCATCTTTTTCAAAGTGTACTACTATTCTACTAGTCGAGCCCTGTCATTTGCGATACTCATATTGAGGTAGTTGTGAAACATTACGTATTCCGCCATTTTGTAGCTGCGGTCATCTTGGATTCACAATGATACAGAATTCATTAAATTCTATTGTCATCAAAACTAAGTGGTTAAGTTTGCATAATTTCATGTAATCAAAAAAAATTATCTTTATATCCTGAGATGAATTATCATCATCTTTCAGCAAACCGTGGTTATTGTTTAAAAAAAAATGTATTGTTTATCATTTTCTTACACTATATTTGTTTAACTTTGGTTTACTGCTATCTTTTACAATTAGTTTATATCTGGAAAATTTCAATCTACATGAAAATACAATCTTCTAGTTTATTTATAATTTCACTTTCTATATCACTTATTTTCTATTACTGTGACTCGATTACATTCGATTAGTTAGTATCTCACAAAACATTCATTGTTATTATTATCTGCGACTTAATTTGTTACTCGCAGATCGAATAGGTTGAGGATGATATTTGGATCCCAGCGATTAGTATATATGAATCACTTGAGAACTCAAGGATGCAGGATTTAAGAAATCGTTCGCACGAACCATTCGCAGAAATATGTGTGCACAAAACTAAGTGATTCATAACTCTGAGAGAATTTTCTAAAAATAACAAAGATCACTTTCACATGTTATATTTTTTTGCAGACCTTTGTGCTGCCATCTTGCGGCAATGGTCACCTCGAATTCAAACTACGAAAGTATCTCTCGTTATGACAGGGTTGCCACTTTCATTACTTCGGTAATGAATCTATCACTCTTGAGTATTTTTGTTACGTCGTTGCGCTGAAACTTAATCTATTAGGTCCATAATACGTTTAACTACGAATCGCCTCTTGTTTCTGTGCCTCTGGTATAGTTGATTGTACTTTCAACTGATTCCATTCAATGAAATGTTTGGGTAAACATTTTTGAATGAGCACTTGAATTTATTCGTTGTCCAATTCATTCTGCAGATTTATTGTAAGAGAGAAACTTTTTAAATAGCCAAAATGGTAACATCTCATAGATGTCGCCGAAATATCACGATGATTATTCTGATACAACTTTCAGATGTCAAGAAGACGTCTTGGCGACGTCCTTTTGTCATAATTATATCGTGTAGATTTCAGATTCCGATATCAGCGAAACTTTTTGCATTAATGTCAAACGAATGAGTTTTATAAAATATCGAAAAAATATCTAACTGTAAAATTGTCACAGCATCCTAGTTCGGCATTACATCAAATCCTATAAGGATGTCTCTTCCATATTCATTTTTCCCTAACGAGTTTGGCCTAATTTCACAACCGAAGTTGTTAAGTAATACTTGAGAATAAGTTAAACGCCGTTTATGAACGATTTGTTGTCAAATCATCACATACAGCTACCGGACTGATTCATGACCGCTGGGAGAAATCATATCTGTTTAATGTTTAGGTCAGTGTAGGACAAAGAAAATATTAGGAAAAATGGAATAGAAACTTCTGTTTGCAATTTCACGTAGTACGGCTTGAATAATCAAACAGACTGATAATAGATTTCTACACATCTACTGCACATCTTCTCACCGGCTATAACTCAGTCCGATAGCTGTACTAAAGTTCTGAAATAACTGAATGTGTTACTGATTTAGATAAATTTTAGTACGAAAATAAAATATTGAGTGGCAACCCTGTGGTCACAAATCAAAAAAGAAGAGAAGAAGATTATTGTTTTGACGTTTGACTTTTGAGTAGTAATTGTATTCAGTTGTGTTGTGTTATTTTTGCTTTGTACTTGTTGGTTTACTTTTGAAAGTTTAAAATGAATAAAACCTGCGATATTTGTCAGGAGCCGGGAACCTATAAGTGCCCTACATGTTTAATATTTTAGTAAGACAATTCTCAATATTTTAATTTTCATGATAATAACTTTCGTTTCTTCTAGCTGCTCAGTCAAGTGCTGTAAACAACATAGACAAACTTCTTGTGCAGTGGCAATATATAAAAACACCTCCCAAAAGGATGGAGAAGTGAGTAATGCGACGAAGAAAAGAAAAATAGACCCGCCAGTATCATTTGATACAAAAAAGTTGAAATCTTTGAGTAAGTTCTGTATTTTACACATTATGCAATGCTTGAAAATTCACAGTTGTGGCAAATTATAGAGAAAATCCAAACAACAAATGAATATTTCATTCTTTTGTAACATTTATGACTAACATATCAAATCTGAGTGCTGTCTCCTTTCTTCCAAAGATTTATTCATGCACTACTTTCTAGTCTAAGTAACAAGTTGAATCATAGGAAACATTCATGCAGAGACAGGTAGGTTTTCATTTCAATATTATAATTGATTGCAAAAATGAATTCTAGTCATGTAGTCTAGTCTAGTTAGATTCTAATTATATTTTTACATAACAATATAAGAACTAGAAGTCATTTCACCTATGGAATAAGTTGTTACACCTTTTTTTGACCCAGGAATAGAATCATATATATGATGATATTAAACATTCACATACTCATTGAAAGGTTTTCAATAGCCACACTAGAGACTCAATACTTGAGAATGGTTTAATGAAACGAAACCGGTCGTAATAAATAAAAATCTTTGTAGAAATTAGACAAAAGTTATTTTCTTCATCCTGCATTCAAAATGAATTTCTATAAAATAAATAAGTCATCAATCAAACAAATTTTGAAAGTCCTCTACTTCATGATCTTCAACGACATTTGTCTCCAGATCTTCCATGGTTTCAGGGTCAAAGGTTCTGTCTTCATTGACATCACATTGTCCATGGGTAATGTATTGTCTTGCGGAACGACTTCTATGTTCTGATCGATGATCGGTAGATTCACAAAGCATTGAGACAGGCTGGCCACAAACTAAACAGACCTGCAACCCCGATTTACTGCATCCACATCGCGAACTACAACTACTCTTGCAGTAGCAGAACTTTGTGTTGAACCATTCCTCTGGAGTAGGTGCTAAAATTGTAATAGTTGAAAAAAAAATTATTAATGATTATGTTTTTCATAAAATTTATATGGCATGTTTTTGACTACTGGTTGACCACGAAATATTTGCAAAAAAACGATTTTTGTGACCTTTGATTTAATCTATCCACGTACACCCTATCATATGTAGGTTTAGAGACAATTTGTAGGATGTCAACATTTTCAAATTCTGAGATACTTAAGTACCCAATTTTGATCATATAATTCATACCAGAAGCAGTAAAACTTTTGAATATGCCTTAGGCTGCATATTCTGGTTCCATCATACTATGTTTTGAAATTGATTTCAGTACATGCTTCGGTAACCTGAATATACTTCTTATATTTTAGTGGTGTACCTCAGAATCAGAACTGGATGTATTTCCAGCTATTGACTGTTTTGACGGAATACTTTTTCTGTATGATTCAGCTACATCAAATTTGTCAATTTTATTATCTTGGGCTAACAAAACCTGATCAATATGTTCGTCTAATGTGAATAATTTCTTCATTGCCTTTGTCTTGTAGTTGTTTCAGATTGACTAGAACAATTTCTGTATGTATCTCATGTATGCTTTTTCTTTTTTGAGTTGTTATATACTGTGTTGCCAAGGACACCAAAAGTTGATTCCAAGAGAAATCACAAGAAGAATTTCAGTTTGGCAGTGTTTACATGACATTGGAAAAGTTTCTATTGACAACAGTATTATTATAAGGCTGAAAACGAATTAACATGAAGTATAAGCTGTCCTATCAATTGAGTCTCGGTAACATATTCTCTACCGATCTACAGAAATACTGCTAACAGTTCTACCTTTTATAAAACATTTGTAAGTTCCGAATTCACACATAGCTGCTCCCTTTTCAAACTAGTTTTCAATTTTTTTAAGGCGTTAAACTCAAATTTATATTGGAAAGCGGTTTTCATTCCAATCGTATCATCTGTTTGTATCCCGAATATATAAATAAATAAATCTCCACTAAGATTCTTTTATCAGAAACACCGTCAAACCCAGAATCACTTTTTTTTTATATATTCAGTGAAAATATATATTTGAAACGCGACATTTCTTTTTCTGTCAGTCAATTTTTGAATTCCGTTTTATATACTTTATGAATCATTGCTTTTCTTGTCAAACCTTGTAGTCCTTGTCCAGCCATGCAGCATTTACTATTTAAAAATATAATTTACATTTGTCGTTACCATATAATCTCTGTATCATTTAATTATGTTTCAACCGCCAACCTGTTCAATTCAATATATTTGAATGTTTCAGTTGTAGCTTGTAGCAAAGTTATTGCTTCATGATTGAGAATCAAATAAAGTCTCAAGTGTTTTCTCGTCACTGTATGATCCATGTGTACTTGAACAATTATCAGCTAAACATTCACATGTATTTTTTTGGGAAAGAAAGTTTTTGGCTTTCTACTACTAAAAAAAAAAAATATATAACCCCTTTAATTCATTCACATGTACATTTGTTAACTCAATTAAAACACGAGAACTTCCTTTGTCATTTGGGATATTTTCTGTTGGTTTGCTAGTGCAGACACACATTCATTTTAATATTTGCACTAAAATTAGGTCCGAATTGCAAGGCAAATTTCCCTTTAGCCTCAAATTTGCCTCTATAATTCTTATTTTAAAAAAAGGCAATCCAGGTAATATTGAGAATTATAGGCTAATCGCTTTACTAAGCATTTTTTCTAAACTGATAGAGAAAGTAATGCCCAATAGAATCACAAATTTTCTCAACACATATAAGGTTTTATGTGACAACCAGCATGGGTACTCCGCTATTTCATATAGTATCGTTGTGTGGGGTTAAGCGTCCGAATTACAAAGAGTTTTTGTGTTGCAAAAACGTATTATTAGACGTATACGTATTTTCTGTTTATCTTATAGAATATCATGCAGAGACACCTTCAACAGTGCCCTCTATTTATATATTGAAACTTTTGATTCACATTTTCAAGAACCTAAACAGCTTTAGAAGGCATTGTGAATACTGGAATTTCGTCTATTCAACATTCTGCCCCTCGAATTGAGAGACAGCAGAACTTTTTTGCGGCTAGTGACTTTCAGTACTGACCTTCTCATGCTTCTTTATATTTTGCTTCATCTTTGTGTGATTTTTCACAGGCGGTGAAGTATGCATCACTGAAATACTCAATTCAAATTTGGTTTTTGACTCGATATTTCATAACATTCAAGAATGTAATCTTTTCTTTTTTTAACCATTATTTATGTTTGTCATTTTAATTGTACATATTCATCAGACACAATTTAATTTGTGAACTTGGACTAATACAATCTATATCTTGTTAATAGGATATGGATACAATAAATTTGAATTTAATTAGTTTTAGTTTGCTGAAACTTCACTCACAGCTTGCGGATGTAGTAGGAAGCGAACAGTAAATTCGCAGTGGCTTTCTCAGCCACTCTAGCGTCACGTCGTCATCGCAGACCACTCTGATGATTTCACCGGAGTGTGTCTAGACTTGAATGTGGGCGGTTTGCTGTTGCTGCTGGAGGCGGAGAAGATGATCTTGTCCAGCTCTTCCAGTAGTTGATTTTTAACCCGTACGGTAAGGTTACCGCAGAACGGGAGAGTCTCATCTATGATGGCAACCTTGAGGTGTTTCACGGTGGCCTCCGCGAAAGGCTTGGAAGGTGCAGCGACATACTGTCGTTGCGCGGCTTCTTCAACCTTCCTGGGGTTCCCCTAGTGGAGGTGTTCAAGTGAGGGCAATTTCCTGGAGGGGCAGAAGTTTTTTCAAGTGGATTGTTTGTAACCGTATATCACCCTGCGATCGGTACGATTCCTTACACCTAGCTTGGGTAGGCTGGTCCATGGTGGCATGTTTCGCAAAGGCTTTTGAGGAGTTTTAGTTTCCCTCACCCCTGATCCATACTTTTTTAGTTCTTCAATTAACATTTTTAAAATATTACGTTTCGGAATTCGTTTGTTTTGCAAATTAGGCTCAACACCAATTTTTTTCAGCAACTTCTCCAGCCTCTTCCATCCAATATTTTATTGCATTTTGTCTCATTTTTCGCTAAATTTTGAGCAGACCATCCATTAGTGCAAGGGAACGGCAAGGATAATATCTTCATTCTGAATTTTTATATTCGATCGATTGATTTCGCGGAGAATATTCGTCCAAATAGTTGAATTATGAATAAAGTAATAGAGCCAACAAAAAAGCAATATACTTTTTGCATCAGTCCAAATAGGTCAATAGTTTCTTGGTATGATGGGGCAGAATGATCACCTACAAGATTTAAGGAGTGAGCCAAACACGGTACGAACTCGGCCAGCTCATTCCTTTCTGCAGTTTTAGCTTGACCTCCTTTATAGATGTCGGCCATATTGGACCCATCATCGTAAAATTGGTCATGACATTGTCCAATATCCAATATGATCGACGAATACTAAATGGTAAACACAAACAACATACATATTTGAAACAAACTGAATACTGTCGTGAAGGGAGATCGACGGGGTAGTTTTTGAAAGCATTCGACTGCGTTTCACATGAAATTCTGCTGGAAAAATCAAACTATTACGTAATTAGAGGTATTCCGCTTCACTTAATAAGAACCTATCTTACTAATCGTCAACAAGCAGTGATGCTCAACGGTACCTTATCAAACTATTAAGCATGGTGTTCCGTAAGGGTTTATTTTGGGCCTGCTCTTATTTGTCATTTAGGTGAATGACTTCTGCAAATATATGATGCCTTTCAAATCGGTTCTCTTTGCGGACGACACCATTTTCATTCTGTTGGATAAAAATAATGATGTTACATCTCGGCGAGGTATCTAATAGTGCTAATCAATGGTTTCCATCTAATAAACTGAAACTAAATTGTCAGAAAACACAATACATCCAGATTTCTGCTTATAATCTAATTATCTCTAATTGTGAAACAATATAAAGTGAATACTAACGGAAACAATATTTACTTTCAGAAACTGATGAGGAACTGAATAAGTTATTGACCAACAGCCATTTGAGAAGTCTCCTAATTACTGTCGATGGAAGTGAGAATGCAGATGAAATCATGCAGAAGGCTATGCAAGAACCGATTTTTGTAGAATTTGCTGATGCATGTCTAAAAGCTGTGAATCAAAATTTTGATAAGAGTACCTAAAGGCTGCATCTCATCTAATATCGTAGATGAGGAAGAGTTCCCTGCTCTTCTCTGGGTTTGTGGGCCAACTTTCATCAATTACCATAGTGAAGCAAACTAGCCGATATTATTAAGTCTGAAGGAGTTTTTAACAGTTGAAGTTGTTATTTACTATGGCAAAAATTCATGTACCTACCTACATTTATATGTGATTTGTTTACGAAGTCCATGGGACCTCGTAAACATGAATTGACTCTTAGACAGCACATGTGAAATGCCTGAATGTGATCTTTCTAAAAGTAATTCAATGTTAGTCAAATTGAATGTTTCATTCTAAACCCCATTGAATTTAGGATAGTATGACAACATTTTACGGGACAAATATGATTTTGTAAAAATTTCACATGGTGTGTTTTAAAGTTGAAGAATTTTTTTTTACATGCTATATGTTCAAGATAAGGTGGGTCAGCATGGAAAAATCAGTTGAAATATATGAAATTTCGAATAGCCTCAGAGATGTTCAAAAAGAACCTAGTCACCTTGTTCATATTTATTTTTTCAAGACTTTCTAAAGAAGATAATGATAAGAAAACGAGTTTTCCTATGTGAGTGCTACAATGTAGCATTCGCAGAGTTTCAATCGGAAGTTTCATCTTCCAGAAACTATCACCAATTTTAATATTTTGTATGAACCGAAAAAAATAATCATCCGGTATAAGTTAGCTGTTTTGGCGACAACTCTACTGATGTATCACCGTAAGCATTGTCTGTGAAAAAGCTCGGTTTCGTTTTTTCCATGCTGGCCCGCCTTATCTTTGACACAGTGTACATTTTTATATATGTAACATTTTACTTGTCTACAGAGCAGAAAATGATATATTTTTTGTAAATGAGGAATGATATTTTTCTTGTTTTTCGGCTTTTTGTGGGACACTTCATGTATGTGTATTTTTCATTTTTTTTACATTGGAAGGAAAAGAATAGCTTTGTTTTGATAAAGGTAACATAAAAATCATAACATAAAAATCAAATAATGAATTTTAAGATACAGCTAGACTTGATAGATTATTCCTTAATATCCACAGTCAATTTTATCACAGATAAAAAACTTGATTGGTTCAATTTTTCCACAACATCATCTTCACATTAATATCTTAGAACAACATATAGATTCTTAATTTCAATCTAACAACTTTTAAAATATCTACATTTTCATTATAAGTTGAATTACAGTAAGAGATGAGAGTTTCAAATTTAATGTGATTTTCTGTATTCATGCTACAATGAAGGATTTTATCTCCCTCCAATTTGAACAGTTATTATTCCTTATAGTTCTAGAAAATTTTTGCCATTCTTCAAGAATTTTGATAGTTGTATTCATTTTAATAAAAACTCTTTGTTGAATAATTTTTTCTGCATATAAAAAAAGGAAATTAGAAAATTGTAAGGGTAGTGACTTGATTTCTCAGATCTATTTTCATCAGCCAGATCATCTATAATGTTTAAACAATAGGTATATTTACCTAAGAAATTTAGTTTTGTTTGGATTTTTTTTCGAAAAAATCCTCAGTATAAAGCTCATTCTTTAAACGAATTGATTCGATGTAGCCCCCGACTATGTGGTAAGAGATCATCATGAAAAATGAGAAATAAAACCTTGCATGTTTTTTTTCTACTTGTATTTGTAACTAATGTTACTGCAGTTTCATCCTATAAGAACATTTTAAAACAAATGCAATAAACTCTTATTATATTCGTTTGAAAAAGTTCTTATAGGACAAAATTACAGTTTCGTTAGTTACAAATACAACTAGTAAAAAACAAAGTTTCATTTTTCTTGATTCTTTGAATATTTGCGTAATAACCGTCAAGCAAACGTTGAAGTTGCTTTTGATTAATGTAATAATAATAGAACTGAAGCATGTAAGAGAAATTCTAGGAATATGTTATAGCTCTTAGTTGTTAATCATTCGAAGAATACATGCATTTCATCATATTTGAAAAAAATTGTTTAAGAAACAGCAAAAATTATAGTATAGACACGCCTGAAGAAGCTATTGTATAGCGAAACACGTCGTGTTTTCGTAAANACCATCTACGGCACTCTTACGGTATTGACGAGACACCGGTGTTGCCCTACGCTCCAGGGGATATTGAATCCGTTGTGGGGAACGAGAAGTGTCGAATTTATTGGAACTATTCGTTCCCCACCCTCAGGCTCATTCAAGCTAATAAGCCTGATGTAGTCCTTCTCGACCACCAGACCAAGACGATATTTGTCGTGGAGTTTTCAGCTCCTGGCGAGATGAATATCGTCCGGAAAGAGGAGAAAAAACGGATTAATATCGAGATTTTCTCTTCGAACTCCGCAGACTCTATCCAGATCAGTCTGTCAAAATGGTTGTTCTGATTTATTGGATTCCTTGGTGGAATGATGTCCTCTCTACTCTCGAATCTTAAAATCATACCGGCTTGTCGCACTAAGGCAGAAATCTTAACCGCACAGATGCAGAAGACTGTTATTCTTGGCTCTCTGTACTTACTCAGGGCACATGATTCTCGGGACCCGATGATCACTTATCCCACGGTGTGGGAAGTGGTCATTGGTTGATAATGCTGGCGCGCCCTCCCGAATGTATCGGGGAATAGGGCCGGACCAGCGCACACTACGGTTTTTCATGCATTAAAATACATTTATACATAAAAGGGAAAGGGTTAGCCAAAGGCTATCTTCCACTCTTCCCAAAAATTATACAGTGAGTATAAGAAAAAGAAGAGAAAAAAATAATACATCATATAATTGCTAATAACTCTTAATATTCTTAACATTATTTTGGTCAATTTAACAATTTCATTGCACTATATTGAATTTTAAATTTTTTAAAACTAGCACTGAACAGTAAGCATCTGTGATTTTATTTCTTTCTAAAATTGATGAATAATATGATTTAAAAGGGGTAAAATTCATTCAGATAAGAAGGGGCTATATAAGAAAAACATCCTTGAAATTTGGAACTTAAACAAAAATTTTTTATCAAATATTGGACTCTGTACCTCACATTTAGCTCCTTCATTTTTAACAAAAATGGGTTGACATGTTCACCATATGGTATACAGCATACGAATCGCATGCAAGCATTTTGTATACGTTACAATTTCTGTTTGTTATATTGCGGCAAAAAATTGTAATACACCGAACAAGAATACTCGATATGGGGGTAAATAAGAGTTGTAACCAACCTGAGTTTCATTTCTTCTGATAACTGATACTTGAATTTATATAGCGATTTGAGGTTGAAGAATGATACTTTGAAAATGTTTGTCACATGTTCATGGAAAGACAAAAAGCCATCTACGGTTACGCCAAGATTTTTAGCACTGTCTTCTCAGTCAATGTCTGCGTTATCGAGAGTGAGCCTAAAGTTACACTGAGTTTCTACTATTTGTCTTTGAGACCCTATGCATAAGGCCAAAGTTTTATTTGGATTGATTTTCAATCCATGATTCTCCGATTATAGGAATGTTTTGTGCAAATCTGTGTTTATATTGGCCACGCAACTTTCTGTATCAAAGTTATGAGAAGGCAAATATATCATTTGCG